CCGGGAAGGCAGCGGCTGCTGCTTGTTGCTTATTTGAGAGAGAAGGCGCGGGTTGAGCGGACGGCACCGCGTCTGCTGTGGCTGATCGGCACTCGCTCGTCTTGCTCTTCGAAGCGGAGAAAGCGTTGTAGAGCTTATTTGCGTGTTACCCCTACTTACTAGGCTAAACGTAAATCTCTGAAAACGGCCCTCATAACTCTTGTTGTTCTTACCAAGGAAGGCCAAAGGAAGCAAGGAAGAACTTTTTTAGACAGGCTGTTTTAATATTAACAGCTTCCTTAGGAAAAAATGTTTCGGTGAGTCCCTTTTCAGGTAAAACAAATAAAAATGTAGTTTGTGTCCGCTTAATGCATGGTTCATTTCTAGATCTCATTCACTCATAGTTAAATTTCAAACTTGGGAGCGTTCGTTTATTTAAAAATAGAAAATAAAGTTGTTTGGGAAGATGTCCTGAATCCATTTTCTGAGCTCTTGAGTTTTCACAAGGGATTATTTTAAGAAACCATAAGTTTTGAGGCCTGTTAAACACTGTCATTCAAGCTTTGATGCAACTCCCCTGTCAGTTACTCCTCCCTGTCTTCAGTTTCTCTCTGCTTCTCAGTAGCTGGTTTTTTGCTTGGTGAGTTGGTGGTGGTTTTCTTTACCAGTCTTTAAAAAGGATTTTGTGGGTTGATGCTTTGTTTTTTTCTCCTGTAATTTAATTAGAATTTTGACATGCTGCCATCTGAAGAATCTCATTCTGATACTCTACATTTGGATAAAAATACTCAAGTTTTTCCTCTGTGGTGGCCCTGTTACTGAGAAATCTTACTAATAGTAGCCTTAAACCAACATTATTTATATTCCGTAGCCCAACCAAAGAATTAGAGCAAGTATTTCGAAAGCAAAAGCAATGTAATGCCTATTTATTCTCATCTAATCTTACATTTAATTATATTTTAAATTACATGCGCTTTATTTTTAATGACAAACATGCAAGAGAGCCATTCTAGTGAATACTACATTGTCTGTCTTTTTCCAAACAGTTTGCGTGCTCCCACTAGACTTGTTAAATTGGTGTTGCTTCCTAATGGGTCTTTAGTGTAAGCTACATCCCTGCTGAAGTTAGTAAGCACTATGCACTAGTCTTGTAAGATATGTATTTATTTGTAAGTAGCGGAACAGCTTCTGTATCTTAGTATCTATGAAAATAGGCTTAACTCCCTCTTTAAGTAAGATCCTGTCTTGCAGCACTTCTGGCTTGCTGCTGCCAAGAGTGAGAGTCCTTGCTTTGTGATACCCTTCCTTGTATGAGTTTTTCGAGATCCCTCCATACATTAGTTGAGTATACTAAACGAGCAGAAAAATATTCTTGTTTTCTCTTGCTGGATTTGTTTTCTTCCATTTTAGTGAGTAAAATCTACTGTAAAGAGGACTGATGAGTGCTGGAGTTGGCACAAGGTAGGAGCAGGAGCCACTTGGGGTGGAAGTGGGGACTGGCACTCCACCCTTGAGGCAGTGGTTTATTCACTTCCCTATGTTTTGTGTAACCAAGCCACTGATTTATCTAGGCGTAGTCATTGTTTCTTAAAATCATGTTTTTTTCTGAAACTTATGTAGTTACGTCACCCTTCTTCTTATTTCCCCTATATTGCTTTATCCTCCTTTGTTGTGGAGGTTTATTCATGTTCGCATAGGAAAATGTTAGTATGTGACTTTTTTATGGAAGAATTTATAAAGCTGTTACAAGTATAAGGCATGTTTATGTACATTTAGCTGATACATAAAACCTACCACTAGGGGAAATGAAGGTACATTAGTTCCTGAGACTCAGCTGAAATACTGTTTTGTGTAGCTCTAGGTTGCTCTTGGGGCATTACAGTATTAAAGATATATCTGGATTTTAAATTATCAAGTGTGGCTCAGTCATCCTTGCTTGAAGATTCCCCTTGAGCTTATCAGCAATTCAAAACCAAACAACTTGGAGCAATTGTACTCTGCTGAGATAAAAACATACAAGTTGTGCTCTGAGCAAGCATGCAGCGCTTCTCCTTTATTGCACAAGAAGGAATGGGGAACTGTTTTGAATTATTAGTTTGTTGCTGGCTTACTTCCGTGGCTGATGAACTAATTTGATAACGCCTAGACGCTCTTATTTTTATGCTGGAAAATCCCTATTATCATCTCTTAGAAGATATGATGCAGTTCAGTAGATAAAAAATGGTTGTCTTTGGTCTGTGTGAACTCTAAAAATTGGGGTAGGGAGGGGATGGGGAACCTGGTCATGTAATAACAAAGGCTTTTTACACCGCTTTTTCCTTTCAGCATCTCAAGAGGAAAGATCCGTTTTGTGTAGAAATAAGTGATTTCCAGAGGACAGCCCCAATGACAGAACTGTCTGCGCATTTACCCCAGTTTCAGCATGGGCAGCTGACAGAAAACTTCCCTGATAACCATCTCAGCAATACTGTATGTAACAAACAATTTTATTACCTGCTAGCAGTTAAATCAGGATGAATAATGAAAATACTTGCATACAGTTCGGAACTCTAGAAATCTTGTTTGTTGGGAGTAATTTTCTCTATCTGGACTGTTGTGGTGGTAAACAGTGCCAAAAGAAATATTCTGTAAAACATCTGATGTTCTAAACTCATTTTTATATACAGATAAGACTTCCCCCAGTTTAAAGTGGTGTTGGAGTGACCGAGCCCTCAAGAAAAATAAGAAAATGGGGTGGGACACTCCTGTGTCAAACGTTGACCTTTAGAGGATTTAGTGAGCTCTCTTGATCCAGCCTGACTGTGGTCTGGTTGATTCACAGGTTTCTCAGTCACAGAGTTAATTTTAGTCTTAGTAGAGCTTGAAGCCTGGGTTTTGCTGTTGCTATTGGTGGAGGACTACTCCTGTGCAGGAAGAGCAGCACTGGCTTGTCTTACTTGTGAATAATTGTCAAAGTGCTCTTAGAGTTCTGATGAACAGAGTTCATCATTCCCAGATGTTTGGGGGGGAGGGGGAACTCAAACCGTAAAGTTTTATATGATTATTCTGAAAGACCTAAGCGCATAATTGTTGCCAAAGCTGTACTCACTGTACTGCACGTGTTGCAGTAAAACCAAGTTTAGATGATCTACTTGGGTGTGGTGCTCAGACTCTTGGATTTGTCCTGCTCAGTTCTTTGTTCCTGCTATAGTTCTTGAGTATCAGGTTTCTTTGTGACACAGAAATGCTTTTGTGAGGCTGGGCCACTTGTAGCCATGTTTATGGCAGTGATTCAAGAGAGTATTTTGATCCCTGCTCTATCTCTTCTATACAATCCAGCAGTTTAAGTAGGATTTTGAAAAATCCTTGTCTTTATCTCAGATCAGCATCCTGCTATATCAGTAAAAATATAAACCATTTGAAAATTTATTTTTAAATTAAGAAGTCAGTCTGACTTAAGACCATACTGATTATAGAAAGCGTTAGTAAAAACAGAGAAGTGGAAACTTTCCTACTGCATCCTTTGTGCTTTTACTACAGAGAGAATGAAAAGGGTTTCTTTTCATCTTGCAGAGGTGAGAGATTAACTTCTGTTGAACACTTCTGCCAGATTAAAAAGGCAGAGCTCAGCGATAAGCTGTAGGCTCACCATCCTTACAGATAACTTGGTGATGCTCCTTCCCAGCCATGGGGGACGGATGGTTCTATTTAATTCTCACTAACAGACTGTACTGATGAGTAACTACTACTTGTGCTTTTTCTTTCCATGTTTAAGTGTAACTCTAGATGTAGTTTCAAGACTTAGTTGTAGTGATTTTTCTCCCCTACGCATATCCGCTTTGTTTTTGTACATATGTACAAAAATCCTTTCCTGCTTAAGTGTGTCTAGCTTCTGTGGCTAAGAGTCAGCATGTGAAATCACAAAATACTATAATTTACCATGTCATATACCAGTCCACACACCAAGAGTTCAGTCCAGTCTTCAATATCTGTCACTGTATATCTGTCACCTTTAAACATAAATGGCGTATTTGAGAACTAATGAAGTCTATGCCCAATGTTAGGCAAGGCAGTCTGCTCCTGATACATAAATCTGGATTTAATAAATAAAATATTCTTATCAAATATGCTAGTTTTTTATCTCTTGGTTCAGGGGCATTGCTCTGGGTTTGCTATTAACTATTTTCCTGATAGGAAAAAAACCCTATCATTTGCTTTTGATATTGTTTATTCACCTGAAAGCGCGTAGTTCGTAACTTACGTTTGCTTACGGTGTTACAACAGGTGTTACTGACTTTTTAGCTTCAGAATTTTCACTTTTAACTATGTCTGAGGAAAGTGAAGAGTCTGTTCCTTTGCTTCCACTTCAGCAAGAGTCCATGGCCTCTGCTCTGTTTAATACTGATCAGGTAGGATATGAGTGCACTTTGTTCTTCTAAGCAGTGGGGCACGCGCATGTCACGTTTAGCTACACTTTAGTAGCCTGAAAGGACAACTTTTGTGTAGTTTTAACAGTGAATGAAAGAATAACTCATAACTCTTGATGCTGATCCAGTTTTCATGCACTGTGTTGTAGTACATAAAGGCATTTTGTGATTGTGTCTTTGTTCCTAACTAGTGAAGGGAATAAAATGGCACATACTGGTCCAATTTCTTCAATTTTTCTCTTTTATGTTTGGTTTTGCAGTTTTCTATAGTGGCATGCTAGTTAATCAACCTTTGGCTGTTTTTGTGTTTGCTTTGCAAAACTGTAGATTTTTATTTTGCTTTTTATATTTCTGTGCCTAAGATAGGGGTAAGTGTGTTCTCATGCAGGACTGCTATTAGAGCACAGAAAGAGCAGCATATTCTGCAAGTGTGCAGAAACCTAAATACTGGGTCTGCTTTACTTTTGAAGTGTTCCAAGGCTCTGATCATCTCCAATGTAGTATTACTTATGATCATCTTAGGCAGTTTATTTAGACAGGTAAGCTTATTGTTGTCTTGTTGTAGACTGAGAGAAATGAAACCTTTTACTATCAAAGTGAAAAATGTTACATTTTGAGCTATAATCTATACAGAAGGAGGTTCAGCTTCAGCCAGCATTTCGGAATAATTAAACATGATCTCTTTATTTGCTTTCTCCCATATTCCTGTTTCTATCTGGCTTTCAGTAATTGTATGTGAGGACTTTATGCAAAATACCAAGTGATTTATAATGAATCTTTCATTTAGCAAGAAGTAATATTGGACCCAAGATCTTTTTCAAGACATACTTTAAGTTAATGATACTAAATTAAAATTAAGGTTAAAACCTTAATTCTAAAAATTTGGTTGCCTGCTAGTTTTAATTGTTTAATTAAGACAGTATTAGATTTTTTTTTTTTGTCGTCCCCTTATATTCAGTTTCCTTTTTGAAAAATAAAGCAAATTTTCTTAGAGGACGGTTCTTGAAACCCTGCTGAGCTTGATCGTGAGGATACCACAAAAAAAAAAAGGAGAAAATAGGCAGAGGGTTTGGTGTGTACTGTTAATTTGTAATGTTTTGTAAAAGCAAATTTTTCATGAGTTAGGGAAGTTGTAAAGCTTCAACTAAGGTTTTAGCAGTGCCAGTGTTTGCAGTTCAAAGTCCAGGGCCTTGTACTCCTTAATCACTTAAGTGCTTTTGAAAACTCCACTATGAGTTCCTGAGTGTATACTGAACATCTTATCTTTTCTGAGGGTGGGGCTGAGAAAATTCTGTATAAAGAATCTCCAAAATAACTACTGATTTATCAAAAAAATGTAGTTAGTTAATGAGATAGAAGTCAGCAGTTGTGTTTGGAAATGCTGTTAAGAATAGGTGATGAGACTTTAACATCGCATATTTAAGGAAAAAATTACCTGCATAGGAGTACTTAAGCAGAAATTCATTAGGTTATTTTCAATGCCCTACCTTATGTCTAGAGCAATTTTACTAAAACTGAGTGATATTTTAAAGGTATTGCAAAAGGTATCTTCCTTCAGTTTATTGTACATTTTAATCTAAAGCTGCTTTAATGCACTTACTCAAACTGAACTGTTTGTAAATGAAGTAGTTCTGAAGAAATGAGATTCATTTTGTAAGGAATCAAAAATCTTTGTGTTACATCTCTTTTATGTTAAACCTCTTGAGTGAAGAGAATGGGAACAGTACAGCATTGACTTTGGACATGGTAATACAGTAAAAAAAAAAACAAGTAGTCTGTGTAAACTGTTGCATTTTAGGGCTTGTTTAGAGTGACTGGTAAACATAAAATGGCTTTGTTTCTTTGTAGTCCAGAACAGGTGAAACATAGCTCACTTTCCTGTTTCATTCTCTGTATGTTCACACAACATATAAAAGGCTTAATGTCCTCTGCTAACGGGGCTTCTTGGAGAGGGGGCAGAAGGTTTGTGACACCAGGAGGAGTACAGGCGCCTGATCATTTACTTGTGGGTGGTGTTCTCAGATTGGTTTTTTTGCTTCTGGTTAATCTTAATTCCACTGAAAGTTTACCTCTGTCCTTGTGTTTGAATTATACCCTTGATGTTTCATGTAGCAGTATCAGGAAGCTCTTTCATATTTGTTGACAAGAGTGGTGGAATTTCTTCAATGACAGTGAAAGGATGGGGCAGTAGTATCCTTATGAAAGGAGAGAAAGAATCTCCACACTTAGCTCAATATGCTAAAAATTGGGGATCAAATCTCAGTATAAAGACTGAGAATTACGTGAGTTTGATTACCATTTCTGTGTCATTCTTATCACTAAAAATGTGGGAATGCAATACCTCATGAAACTCCATTTTAATATATATTCCAGTTAGTGTACTGTAGTGGGAGTAACATGGTAAGGAAAGTAGAAATTTTCTTGGGATTTTCATGGAGTTAGGGTCATAAATGTCTGTTTGGCATTATTTCTAGGAACAGATATAGTTAATTCTTGTCATGCTATGAGTAATCTACTGTCATGCACCCTTGTATCAACTGTAGTTTGAATCAAAGGAGAAAGCTGTCTGTCTTTATTCAGCTTTTTAAATTCTGTTTAAAGGAAAGGCAACATAGGCTGTTAGATGCAACCAGCCTACTTTCAGCTGCTGCTGTTTTTAATATAAATGCTTCTAATGTAACCCTGTGCTCCCATTCTTTTGGTAACTATGTGATGCAATTAATTACTACTGTTTTAAGTCTTTGCTGCAGCAAGTGTTTTTAACAGTAAATATTACCTTGCATGTTTCCCCCTCAAGATAATTTTTAGCTTAGTGTACAAGAATATGATTGTGGATAGCTGCTGAGGAAACTGGTTTTTATTTATTGCAGAATGACAACAGTGAAAGACGTCGCCATGATAATAGTGAGCGCAGAAGAAATGACAATCCTGAGTCTGAGACCAATGGGCAGCCACAAAACAACATTCAGCAAGTGGTGGAACAAGACGAAGAAGAAGATGAGGAGCTGACGCTGAAATATGGGGCAAAACATGTGATTATGTTGTTTGTACCTGTCACGCTTTGCATGGTGGTCGTTGTTGCAACCATCAAGTCTGTCAGCTTTTATACACGGAAGGATGGACAGCTGTATGTATCAATTTTTTTCCCCTATCTTTTCAATGAACTCACTTAGATAATTTTCTTTAATCTCCATTTCTTCAGAAGTCTAATTCAAGCAGTGAACGCCCTCTTGCTTCCCTTTTCCCTTCCACCAGCCCAAAGATAGTTTTGTTTTATTCATTCCAGAAATCAGACTCTATATTCATGGTACTACTGACATTTGTTTGTCTGGTGACCAGTTGGGATAATATCTTGGTTGTGACTGCTTGATCCAAATCCTAGTCCTCATTTTAATATTTCATTGTGACCTGTGGTATTTATAAAATAAACTCAATCTTGAGCCAAAGCCATTTTAGTTGTACTCTGCTAGAATACAAAGATTTTGAAAAAGGAAAAAAACCTACTCATTTAAATGAAGTAACATATATGCCAAGTTCTGGTTTGCCTATGCTGTTTGATAAAGAAATTCAAATGCAGGAGGAAGATAGCTTTATAAGGTTCACTTCTGTTGCAGTTACAGAAACTTTCCTAGCAAGTTTCCTGTCTAGAATGATTTTTTTTTTTTTTTTTTTTCCAAAATATTGATGTTGCCAAAAAAAAAAAGTAATTCCAGTGAAAGCTGATTTGAGAGAAAGGAGACAAAGGAAGAACACTGAGCCTGTCAGAACCTGCAGCAAATCAGTCTAAACGTTCCACTGCAAAAACATTTAGACAGAATGATTCAAAGTGTGTTTGGCTTTGAAATGTTTGTATAATACAAGCACGTCATAAAATGTTTCAATAAAACACAAAGTTCTTTTTCACTATCAAAGTTGTCGATCAAAAGAATTATTTTTCTTGAGATTTTATTTATAGTAAGTGTCTTCTCCCCCCCCCTCCCCAATGAAGTGGGTTTTTTCCCTAGGTGGTTGTATTTAAGAAAAAGAGTAGAGCCTATACATTTTTTTGTTGAAATCGCTGGGGAACCTTCCGTTGTAAATCCACTAGATGGTGTGCTTATAAAGGTCTAGCTGCAGTAATAGTCTAATGATTCATAGCTTATGAGTAATTGTATCAAACACTGTTTTTTGTTTGTTTTACAAAGTAGAAAATAGTCGTAATCTAAGAATGTAGGAAAGGCAAGTCTTCTAAGGAAGATTCTTTTCTTTTTTTTTAATTAAATTTTGCCTAATATGATCCCATGCTGCCTTTCAGATTTTGCCTAAGTAGAAAATAGCTGTTGCTTTTACACCTGTGGACTGAAAGATTACTGCAGTTTCATTTGATGTTGGCCTCACATATCAGAAACATCTGTGCATTCAGTGGCATTTCAGTTGACTCTCTGTTGTTGTAGCATCTACACTCCTTTCACAGAAGAGACAGAGACAGTAGGACAGAGAGCCCTGAATTCAATTCTCAATGCGGCTATCATGATCAGCGTTATCATTGTCATGACCATACTCCTGGTTGTGCTTTACAAATACAGGTGCTACAAGGTGAGTATAAATATAATTGACTTGAGTAATTGTGCTGGTTTTATTTATTAGTACAGATTATCAAGAATGGAACAAAATGAAGGGTTATCAAGGATGAGTGAGCAAAAGTAGCAGAATTGGTGATGCAGTTCACTGTTTCAATTTTGTGGCTTCTGTTCCTTTGAGGCAATGGGGAGGCAGAGGGCTGGTGCTAACACTTCTGGCTGTTTTGTCAGTTAGAATTAGGGTGACATTGTTTCCTATTCCTGTGAAATGTACCATGTACTGAAATCTTCCTGTAGTCAAGATCTACAAAGTACAGACATGGTCCTACAATTTGAAATTAATTCAGGACTTCAGGGCCTTTTCAAGGGCTCCCCTCTCCCCACGCTGTCCCAGTATAGAAGTCTCCCAAGAGTGTGATATGTGCGTGGCTGTACACGCCAGGCGATACCCTTATAGCAAACACAGAGACTCTAAGGCTCTTTTGTGAAAGACTTCAATCATATAATGATGTAATCTAGGCAAGTCCAGGCTTAGCATAAATAATTGCAATGTCACCTGCCTGGGCGGAGTTGTTAATGAAAATTCCTGGTTATCTTTTGGTCTTAGTGATCCATTTGACAAGGCTTGGCCTAATAAAACTTCCCACCGTGCAGCCAGAACCTTGAAGCTGTTTCATAGTTGTAAAACGGGCAGTGGGATCCATGTACTGGCACAAAGCTTTGCTCTACTTTATTTTGTTTTCAAGAGGGAAAAATGGTTGTCACCTTCATGGCTGTGGGTGAAACTCCTTTACAAAGTATTTGTGGAGCGACTGGGGAAACGTTTTTGCCTGGATCTGCATACAGCTTGGAATAGTGTTTTTTAAAGTATGGACCTTCTACTCTATCGCATTGTGGTGTTAAATGTGAACTGACAAAGTTTTTCTTTTTAAACTGTCAATTCTGTTAATTCTAATGAAGTCAGATAACTGATGTACTTCAGCTAGGTTCCTTGGCAGCCAGTCGGTTCTTCTTAGGTGCTGAAGGCATCAACTAGTTTTTACTAAGCTTTTCACATTTCTGGCTTTCTTCTTGACATTACAAAGCATTGCACATTCTCCTTACAAAAATAATTGTGATACTAAAAAAATAGAATGATTGGACAACAGAAATTTCCTGTAGTTCTATTTTATGCTAATTAAAAGAAATAAATTATTTATTTTTAGAATTGCTAACAGAGTATTTCTATGCTGCTATACCAGAGTGTTGTAAAATGTAGTTACCTCTCCACTGAATTCTCTTTTACATGCAGTTCTATATGTAGAATGTCTAGATTATGAGGAATGGAACTTATAATGAAAGAATGTTAGGCCTCCAGCTGGTAATGATAATTTGGTTATCTTCACAAGATTTTTATATGAAAACTCCTTTGAAGAAAGGAAATGCTATTTCAGCTTTACTGCTGTTAGTTTCCTATGTTTCTCCTGTACGTGATAAGTTAAGCATGGTCCTGATTCTAGCTCCTAAATCTAACCAGAAACAGCATCTTCAAAAGTGACAGTATTTGACTAGCTTTTCTTTTTAGTGTATTTTATTATTCTCTGCATTCTTCAATCTGCCTAACCAAAATCTGGCTGCTGTAGCTTATTTGAATTCTCTGCATTCTGCAATCCTTAGTTTTTATTCAAGTTGTAGTGGGCAAAGCCGACTCTGTACCAGCAGTCAATTAGTGTTGAAGCTGTTGTCAAATGAACAATGCAAATTCTTTAATTAGAAGGCAACAAACCTGTCATGGTATCCTGCTAGGAAAACGCTGGCCAAAACTTACAAGAAATACTTTGGAAAAATCACTTGTGTGAAAAGAGGCTGGTGATCTGGGAAGTGCTATAGCAAATGAGATACTGAGAAAAAAACAAACATCTGTGTGTAAAATGCCAACTTATGTCAACTCTTGAAACTACCTCCTTCAGTACTGTTGACAGTAGTTATGCAAAGTGTGTGTAAACATTTGCTGGACTATGGCCTTGGTGTTTGACATTGTTAGCATTTTACTCTTTACTAGAATGAAACATTAATATTCATGTTATTTTCTTAAGTGGTAAGAAAGTTTAAGAGCTTATACTACAAATAGAAGAACTACAGATAGACGTCATGTTATTAAAAGAAATGACACAGCTTGCTTTGCCATTTTCTTAAAATGGTTTCAACTAGTCTTACAGAGAAATAAAATTACTCTTGTTAGGTTGCTACTTAGATATATAAGTAGCTTTACAGGTTGTTTGAAAGTTGGATTCTGTTTCAGGTACCTATCAGTCTTCAGCTTTAGTATCTGTTTTTTCCTCCAGATTGCTATGAGCAAATACTGAAAGCTAATCTGTTAGTTAAATGACAGGTTTTATTAGGTTGAAGGTTAAAATTGAACCTGGTTTGAGAGACAAGGCAGTGTGAAGGAGGAGAATGAATGTTTCAAAAATTGCCGAGAACTTTAAAAATGCTTATGAAAAATTCAGTGTTAGACTAAATGTACTAAATGACTAACTGTAATAGCTAGATTCTTAATTTGCTGGAAAGTCCTGATTGCCTTATGTAAACGTGATTCCTTTAGTCTGTGTGCATCTGGCCTTTACTTTTAAATTAACTTTTGCAAAATATTTTAAAAACTATAACATAAGATGCATTCTACTACACATCTTTCAGAAAAAGAGAAATAGATAACACAATTTCTGAACAGTTTCTGAATACTTTGATCTGGTGTACATATATAGCTACTTTAACCAGTCAATTTTCCACTGAGCATTTCTGTTTGAAGCAGGATTTCTTATGCAGCTTGAATTTCTAGATTATTGCTTCTGACTGGTTATCTACCTGCAACGTTGAGTCTGGTGTTATATATAAGATTCTGTGCTGGAAATTTGACAAATACATGTTTCATTCTCAGTTCAGAGATTACCAGAGTTACAGGGCTCTTCAATCTTAATTTTTCATTTTGCACAGTAATATACAAGAGTGGTATGCACTTTCATCACTGCAAAGTCTGAGTGCCTGTCATTTCCAAATTTAAACCACTGAGTACAACCCTGAACTGTTTTTTGTTAAATTGTTGGGCATGTATGTCTGCTCTCATATCAAAATTAGGGTTTATGTCTATAGGTGATTGATAGAGAATACAGAAATCTTTCTATAGTCATTCATCGATGATATGCTAATTCCAACAGATAAGCAATGAAGGTTTTTCATATGTTCCAGCATTTAATTCTATACCATATTCTGAAAATGATTTGGAATCAGAGCAGGCTTTTTAATTGTGCAAAAATGAATGTTTTCCAACTGTGTTAATGCTGGATACATCTGCTATGTTACAATGCCACCGTTATCAAAATGGCCTAAAATATAGAAGCAGTAGTTTTCATTGTATAGAACTTCTACTGAAAGACCACAAAGCACTTAAAATTCGTAAGTGTAAATTGAAATACAATAGTGTGTATAGACTAAATATGAGTTTAGTAGCAACCACAGAGAGATCTGAATATAATTTTCTTGCTTTATTCAAAAGGGAAAATAACCTTAAAAGCAATTTTAAGTAGATATTAACTTTAACAAGTCGGAAAAAAAAAAAAATCTGTATTGATATCTTTTTTCCAGGTGATCCATGGCTGGCTTATCATTTCTTCTCTTTTGCTGCTTTTCTTTTTCTCATTCATCTACCTGGGGTAAGTGAACTAAAGCATTAATACGCTTTTCTTCATGTATCACTGTGTACATATTTATTTTAGAACTAGCCTTTGAATGTTAAGAAGAATGATAGTGAGTAAGCTATTGCAATAAAATTTTTAGTTCTATATAGGTTCATAGAGTACACGTAAGAGGGGGAGATTTATGGGTTTATAGTGCAATTTATAGTGTGCAGAAGCTGTCCATCACATGCAGTGCCAGAATAAGCTATCTTCCACAGGGTAGCTTATTCTGCTAGCATATTTTCTGATAACTTAATTTTTCGTAGCCATATGACTCAGGGGCAGTTGTTTATGTCATGGCTTTGGTAGTGGGCAATATATGCAAAGGCTGTTTGCATGGGAGTGACAGAAAAGAATCATCTGAAAAGAATCTACTCTCTCACCAAAATATATTCAGTGTTTTTCTTTTCAAATTTGGAAGCACACCTTTACCCAGACATCAAGAAAAGTTGTACATAATACTTGGTATTCTCTAAAATGAGCAACCTGATCAGGGTTTGTAACTAGAGTTATGCCATGAAATTATACTGTGTATATTTTTGTACCACTTGATGACAGATACACTTCTCTTCAAAGAAACTTATTAAATTTGGTCTCCAGGGGGGAGAAAATGGTGTTCCTTCAAGTCACTAATTTTTGCCAAAAGTGATCTGTGATGCCTTTTTTGGTCAGTATTTTTTCTAATCTTAATAGCAACTTTTGAAATACAAGGCAATGTGTGCTGCACAAGTGCAGTGCAGGCTGGGTGAAGACAAGTTGCCAGGCTCACTTCCTTTGAGTTTGGGTTGGAGCTGGCAGTCTTCCATGAGCATGTGTGAATAGAGGGACTGCAGGCTTTCCTGAAACCGTGCTTTCTTTCACCTGTTCTTGCTGCCTCATAGCAGTACTGGCTTCCTTTCACAGAGGTCCAGTGAGTGAGGAGGGAGTCTGTAGACCAATTATATGTGATAGCAGTGAGGGGCATCCTCTTAACATTGTACGTCTCAGAGGCCAGCTAACAGCTACGGAAGACAAATTTCCTGGAGGAAAGTATAATGCAAATTATAAGCTTCTTAGTGCCTTGATGAGTTGCTAGCAGCAGAATCTGCAAAAGGCCATCACAACTGTTTCTTCCCTGGGTCAGTGGAAATCACCTGTGACTTGGTGACAACATATTTGTCTGTTTTGGTTTTACTTATTGAGGGTCTTAATTAGTTTATAGTATTTGGTGTGACAGAGTGACACGGTTCATCCAAAAAGAAAGCTTTTTACTTTAGTGTTTGTGGCAAAGAATAAAATACAATAACCATGTATATCCTACTTTGAAGTTAGTAAAGTATTTCCTTTCCACAGGCAGCAGGTAAGTAGAGAGAGATCTGTTTGCATGCCTTTAAAGATCCATTATAACCTCACAAGTTCTTATTCTTCTGATTTTTAAAATTCATAAGCATAATCAAAATGACTGGTTTTGTGGTAATGTCCTTTCCTGTCAACTTCTGCTTTGATTGAGAAAGAAATAGAACATTAATGAAAATTTTCAGAAAAGTGAAAGAGTCGGTGTGAGGCAAACACTGGTAAAATTATCCCCTTTTTGAAGAATGGTGAAGTACTAATTGGAAATAAAATTTTACATTTGTGCCACTACATTGAATATGAAAATTAAAAAAAAAAAAAATTCTGAAGTTTCCATCTGTAACTTATTTCCATTGTTTTAAGCAAATGCAGTCCATATTCTTTTCCACGTTTTTTTTTTTTAGTGAGGTTTTTAAGACGTATAACGTTGCCATGGACTACATTACGGTGGCACTCATGATCTGGAACTTCGGTGTTGTGGGAATGATTTGTATTCATTGGAAGGGTCCGCTTCGGCTCCAGCAGGCGTATCTCATTATGATAAGCGCTCTCATGGCATTGGTGTTCATTAAGTACCTTCCTGAATGGACTGCATGGCTTATCCTGGCTGTCATTTCAGTGTATGGTAAGGTCTGGGGCAAGGCATGGTAACAGGTATTATGGTGGGTATTTATTCTATTCCCTGACTATTCTGCTTGTCTGACTAGACCTTAAAAAAAGAAAAAGGTGTGTGTGTGGCAGTATCATCCAAAGTAGTGGATAAGGTGATTACAGACTTCAGAAATAAGATCATGATCTAAACCAAGATGAGTTCCCTGCAGCTAGTGGCTTTGTGTGACTGTGTGATACCATCTTCCTTCATGTTTTCTGGACTTTCTAGATTCTTTGGAGAGGAGAATTGAAGTAATTTAAGAGAGGAGGAGATAAGAGACCTATGTCGCCATTTTAATCTCTTCTATGAAGGTGGAGAGCTTTTGGCTTCTCATTTTCCCCAAGAATCCTTGGAAACCATTGTATGTTAAGAATTTAGGAGCTTGTTGTCTGGGTACAGTCCCGTACAGGTATAGATCTGCCCAACATAGGAATTGCTTAAATTTGTGGACATAGAAACAACACCCTGATCCATGCCTAATAATATAATGAGAAGGAAGCAAGGAAGGATTAAAGGCAGTTTTCGTTGCTCAGAGTCATTTTACATTTAGAAGGATACAGTTGTGAGATCTGTTTCCTTGATTTTTTTTAAATAAAAAGAAAATTCATTTGAATTATTGCATATTATGCTTTTTCAGAATGATGACTGAGATACCTAGATGTAGTTTTTTCATAAAGCTTTAGAGGGCACTGGACACTTTTGGTAAGAAGATCACTCTCTATCCCAAATACCAATTTAGATTCCAGGCAAGCCTAAAAGCCAGTTACTTAGACATAATTAAAACATTACAGCTAAGTGTATCCATGAAGATGTGCTCATAACTTGGAATTTTTTTGGAAGCATGTAAGCGTGATGAATGTGTACTCTGAAAGTCACTGATGATGATAAAGACTGAGAATCTGTACAGTTGTAGAAATGCAGAAGATAATAAGATTTGATTAGCTCTGGTAGGTCAGTGTACTCCTTAAGTGTCCTCTTCCTTCAGAGGGAGGAAAAATGTCCCTTGTGTGTATGAAAACCTTCCCATCTCCCCTGTCCACTTCCACCCTTTGTATGACTGGAACAAATCTTAGTATTGCAAGCATTCAGCCTTCATTCAGCAATTGCAAAATGAAGTTACTCTTCAGATCATATTCCAAGATCATAACGTGGTTGTTTTGAGTAAAGGAGAAGTAAGTTTCAAAGCCTGTGAACCCATGCTGAGAATTCTTTACTTGAGTGGGACCAGCAGTGGTGCTAGGGCAGTTAGCGCAGGTGCAGAAAGCCTGCTCTGTGCAACATACAGCTCCTGACAAGTAAGCTGTTCTTTCGGTATCAGATTTTGTTTCACATGAATTTAAAGACATACAGTGAGTGGATAACTGCAAAAGGTAGTAGCATGGTTAATATGTAAATGTTACAGCTTTCTGTCCAAATATGCAAGACAAGGGAAAAGTAGCTGAGGTTGTTTGTGGAGTTGCAAATTTCATTAATAAACCATCACCATTCAGGTGAGAAAGCAAATGGGAGCATCTGATAGATCAGTTTTTCTTAGTGCTGTGCTTTGATCTGTATGAGTAACTTGTACAGTCATTCTATTTTGTAAATGATTGCTTTTCAGTTAATTTTTACTCGTTCACCCAGTTTCATATACTGTCCCGTGAACAAGAATTGAGGGAAGCAACAAAAAGCTGCTGTTGCTTTCTTATGCTAAATGTGCTTTGAACACTTCTCAAATCTATGCAAACACAGCATTTTCCCGCAATGCTTAATAAACCTGTTTTTTTTCCTCTTCACTTGCACATTCACTTTTTTTCCCCTATTTAAGTGGGAATAAATTAGCAGTTATGCCTACTTTATAGAAGTAATGTAAGCCTCACTTACCTGTTGTCTTAAAATTTGTTGTAGCATTAAACTTGGGTTAAGAAAAGCTTTGATAATAGAAAGCAAGCTTGGGTATTTCCAAGATGTTAGTTGAATAGTAGCTTTTGTGAATTATCTGCTTTCAACTTGCAAGTCAACATACAGACACAGATACATTTGCAGTTGCATAATATCTTAAGTGAGGAACATAGCATTTTTTTAATTTGTATATATATTACAGTAATATGTAAAATAGGTTGTTTAACTGAGTAGGATACTGACTTGTGGCCAATGGCACGCTCAGAAGTCTATTTTCAGGGTAGCATTTTATCATATTACCAGTCTCTGCAAGTGTTATAGAAAAACCTTCTTGTAAGTATGTCTGCAGTGATATGAGATCTGTTCGCTCTTCCTTTCAGATTTGGTTGCTGTCCTGTGTCCTAAAGGTCCTCTTCGTATGCTAGTTGAAACAGCTCAAGAGAGAAATGAAACTCTCTTCCCAGCACTTATTTACTCCTGTAAGTACGTTTCGTTAAGTACTTTAAACTTACAATCACCCACTCAGCCTAACTGATTTTCTCATTTTTCTGTGTTTTAACATGATGCTTGTCAGCTGGAATTCTTAGTCTGTTCACTTGGGCCTTTCACTGTTGACTCAAAAATATGGAACATCTTCTGGCTAAGATCTTTCAAGATAAAAACCAGCATGCTGTTTTACAAAATATGAACAGGAAAAATGGTAACACACCTTGTTTTGGCCAAAGAAGTATGTCATTAGGCTGTGAATTAAGTCTATTCAAAGCGAGTGCTTGTTTTCAGAAAATATTTATCAGCTTTCAGTGCTTAAATAACCTGTGTTTTACTGGAAGGAAAGGGAGAAATTGCCAAGAAGAGATTCATTTACAGAATTATTTTCTCCAGGGCTTGTCTTTTTTGATATGTTGTTTCTCCCTGCAGTTGTGAAAAATAACCTACTGAATGCAAATTGCTGTTATGACCTGTGTATCAATTAGTACATAATTCCACTGTTTCTGAAATTCATGTTGCTAGTTGTAATCGTATGGATAAACAGTGAAATAGGCTAATCGTAAATCATATGCTACAGGTGCTGATGAAAGGCCTGTATTTGGAAGCAGGAAGTATGCTGTAGACTGACTGGCTAGTCTACTGACTTGTCAGGGACAAGTTTACAGCGGAGAAAGGGGAGGGCTTTTGTTATGTGTCGCTGTGTTTCACGGATATTACTCATAGCTGCCTGTTGTTCTGTTTTGTGGGAGAAGAGGTTAATGCTGAGAAACCACAAACTTGAAGTAAAATACACCATTTAAGTGTGGTAACATTTACTTCCAGATTGGAGAATTCTTTGTGATGGTGGGGACAGAGAACAATTAACTTTGATGCAGATACTGCCTCTGAATTGAAGTACCTTAGTACCAGTCTTAATAGACCTTTTTACTTGCAGATGAAAGAAGTTATTAATGGAAAAAAGTAAAGAAATCATTGATTCAGATTTTCAGTGGGCCTCATATATAGAAGTAATTTCTCTGGCAACAGCTGTTGCCATTTTTTTCAACGTCTAGTAAGAATAAAACTTTTATTCACCAAATTCTGTAAATGCATGTTGTAGCTGGTACTGGCTGTGTTCCAGATGTTACTGTGCTTTAGTAAGAGTAAAATTGCCTGTTGCAAAACATAGTTGTATTAAAAAAAAAAAAATAAAAAATGGATTGATGCTAACGCTATCTCAGAATTGCATACATCTGAAGATCTGATTAGCTATGCTGGTGTTTGTTTATTTGTTTTTTAATAGCAACAATGATATGGTTAGTGAACATGGCTGAGGAAGATCCAGAAGCCCAACGGAAAGCTTCCAAAAACTCCACTTATGATAAACAAGGTGAGTCTTATTTTGACAAGCCTTTATAGTTGTCATTTTGTTGGAATACATGTTTATGGATGCTTGGTTTTTAGCTTTTTAAGTGTCCTGGTTGCTGTAGAAGAGTGAAAGCATGGAAGCCTTATTAGGAATGATGAATCTGTCAAGACTTCAAAAATTGCTTGCTTATTGTGCAGTTAATGTTCTTGTATTCATTTTTCTGGGACCCAGGATGTTGGTGGTGAAATGACTCTCAATAGACAACTATTGACTGAGCTCAATTGCTTGTCAAATTGGGATGATATAGTATAATGCTAACTCATTTATATTTGTATTAGACAGAAATGTGTCTAGCCCTCCTGGCTATGCAGCTAGTGTTTAAAAACATGGAGTTTGTTTACATGTATTAATAAAGCACAGCAGAGTTTCTGAATTTAACATGCTTGAAGGGGTGTATGTATATGTAGCTTTCAGTAAAGTTTTCTATTTTACTGGAAAATTAAGCTGTCAATGTTGACTAAAGAAACTAATGAAATGTTAGATGAGAGTTTATTCCTTAAATTGTGATCTTTAAATTAGGTCACCACAGAACTTCCACTCTGTTATGTCGAAGTGCTCCTGAACACTAGGACTTGAGTGCAATATGTAGATGCTGTGACTGCAGAGTGCACATTGACTCCTGATTGTTTAAATAAATATTAAAATCCTAAGCAAGGATGTCTTGTAATGGTGTGTGCCAATGTTAGATGTTGCTGAATATTATGGAACACCTCTTTTTCCCTGATTCTTTTATGATCTTACATGTGGAGAGATTGTCATGTTTTAGAAGGCACATTTTTGAAGGAGATGTTAAATGCCTTTCTTCCTTTGAGCTCCGGCAAACCAGACTCAAAATGAAGATGCTGAAGCAGATGATGGTGGCTTTAGTCAAGAATGGCAGCAACAAAGGGACAATAGAATAGGACCCATTGAATCAACACCTGAGTCACGTGCTGCTGTTCAGGCTCTACCCAGTAACTCTCAAACAAGTGAAGACCCTGAAGAGCGTGAGTATGGAATACTGTGTCTGATAGACTTAGTAAATCTGAAGCTAGTTAGTCTTAGTCATCCTGACTGCACAGATACAGTATGCTGTGAGCTAATAGCAAGCTGAAGAACTGCTCTTGCTCATGATCAATACTGACATGCCTCATAGCAATGGAGTTGCTTTTTGGTAGCTTTTGATTTTGCTGGAGGAGTGAGTAATATTGGCCAAATTGACCTTCAGTTTGATACACAGACTCAAAACTTTAATAGCACAAGCTGCTTTCAGACCATTATGCAGTCAGTTGCATTAGCTTCTGTCTTTTCCATGGAGTGTTCTGCTGTGTATCACCTCTTTTGGCTTTTGGCCCTGTAAAAGCAGACATTAACATTTTTTGCCTCAAGATTAAACTACTGTAATCCACTCTGTAGAAAGCAATGTTTAAAACCTGATTGGAGACTGAAATGAATGCAGAGTGCCACGGGCTTGCTTATTTTTTCTTCAGCATCTTGCTGAGGTGCAGTATCTTTGGAGACCATATGACATCAATATTCAGATATCTGTTTTAATAGACTTGTGATTTCCAGTTGGAGTTTAAGCTGCTATTAGATTTGCAAAGCACTGAATAAATTAGGGTCTGCCCATCTAATAAACTGCTCTTCCCATGTGATGCTGCCATATTTAGCAGGTGCAACTGCTTCCTCTGATTCTCAGGTGCTCCTCTGTTTAAAAATAGAGATTTCTACTTCAAGAACAATTTTAGAATTTACTTTGTCCCAAACATTCCAAATTCGGAATGTGTTGCAAATCCGTTTTCATTTCTAGAGCTTAGAAAAATAACATTAAGATGCAAAAATTTTAGGAATTGGGCTATTTTAGTTAGTTAACTGGGTAACTAAAACTCTTGTCTGGCCAGACTAATAATTTTCTCCTTCCTGTATTCCTACAGCAAATAGTAATGACAGATGTGCAGTGATCCAGTCAGACTTGTCAGCCAGCATTAGCTTACTAGAAGTTCTGAGCAGCTCATTAGAAATTTGGAGAGTTTGCTTGTGTGGAAGGAGTTATCTAGCAGTTGCTTTTGCTTATTGTTCTGTTATGCTGAAAGCAAGCATCCAAGTTTTGTTTCAGCAGTTGAAGGGTGTTGTAGTGCTTAAGAGCTTTTCATGAATGCACTGTTCTAGACCATATATTGGAGGCCTGCTGAAAGAGAGTAGTGTTGCCTTTTTTTTCTGGTTTTTCTCCTTTTTTTCTTTTTTTTTTCTCTCCTTTCTTTTTTCCCCCAGTGATCACCCAGGCATAGGCCTCTGTTTTGATGCTCTGAGTTCCTCTTAGGACTCTAAAGTGGGTTTTGGGCTGGACTGTAATCAGGTGACAAAGTAAACAGTAGGCCAGATGAAAAGAGCTGGTGAAGTGATGTTGGCCTCTCTGACTTAATATCTTGGACTAAAAGCTCAGAAAGTGAACTGGTGTTCAGGAAATCTTCATTAGTTTGTTTGTAGAAATAATTGAGTATTGTGCTCCCAGAGTTGTTGCTAAGGTGGTAATTACTATTTAAAAGAATAAGACATTAACTCATGAGTTTTCCTAAACCTCACATCTTGGATTAAATATGTTGGTTTTTTTACCTCTGTGATATGCTCTGTAATTACACACAAGTGCTTTTTAGAACTACCTTAGTAAGCATTCTATAGGAAAATTGGGAGGGCAGTGGAATATTTTGCTGGGTGTAGGTTTCTAACTGGCAAATAAAACATCATCTGCAAGGGACTTACATGTTTTCCCCCTTCCTTGGCCAGCTTAAAGGAATTGTACTTCAATATTCCGTTGAATATGACATGACAACCAAAAGTGGACAACCCCCAACAAATATAATTACAAATATCTGAGCTTGTATATATTGTATTTGTATGTACAGGAGACTAGGAATATAGAAAAATTCTAATTATAGGTTGAATTAATTGAGTGGTGTAATGTTCCTAAGCCGTCTTGTTTCACAAGAGTTTATCACTTGATTCAGGAGTGGTACTAGTTTTGAAAATAAAATGTTATTAGCAAGTCTTTTTGATTCTTAATGTAAATCTGTATTATTCTCTGACAGTTACTGATATGCAATATTAGTAGACTGTCTGATACTTAATGCTGCTATATGTTCACTTTTGCAGGAGGAGTAAAGCTAGGTTTAGGAGACTTCATTTTCTACAGTGTCCTTGTTGGCAAGGCCTCTGCAACAGCAAGCGGAGACTGGAATACAACTTTAGCATGTTTTGTAGCCATATTAATTGTGAGTATATTGTAATATTATTATTGGAATAGTTTCTATTCTTCGTCAGTGACAAAGCCATAACTGCTACATTTTTTTCTTTGGAATTCGTTTATTTGATGGCCAGACTGAAAACTGATGAGGGCTTTAGCTGTGGTCTTCATTGGCTGTACATCTGCCACTTAAGCCTTTAGTTTAGGAAGGCATGAACTGTATCTTGTATTTCTGTGGGATTAATGTTTATATATATAATCTTTTGCTTGTCAGAGTTCCCTAATTTCTCCCTATTTTTTTTGTTTTTTTCTTCCTCTCAGGGTCTGTGCCTTACACTTCTGCTTCTTGCCATCTTTAAGAAGGCCTTACCAGCTCTTCCAATCTCCATAACCTTTGGGCTAGTTTTTTACTTTGCTACAGATAACTTGGTGCAACCCTTTATGGACCAGCTAGCATTCCATCAGTTTTATATCTAGCACACTTGATGCTGGTATTCTGTGGATATTTGTAGCAAATCTGGGAGGAGGAAAAATGTTTTTCCCTCAGTTCTCAAGTGAGACTGAAGTTTAATACTCAAGATTCCAAGCCTGAATCATTACAACTTCCTCCGATGGTGTTTGGTTTTGGTTTTGTTTTTTCCCCGAGACAACTGCTGCACTGGGCACCATATGAATTTTCCTGTGTGAAAGTGGCTTCTTCCTGATGGCTGGTCTAAACCAGGTGCTATTATATCAGAGGTAATCTGATATATGTATCTCTGGTAAGGACCACCTGTGTGCAAAGTGCTAATGCTTCCACCAGCAATGCGATCTCTTACCACAGGTTGATTATTTTCACAGCGTTAAGGGTGCTCAGAACTTCCTTGATGTTAACAAAGGAAGCTGACAAATCACATGGAACTTGTCTCTAACCGCTTGAAGAGAGAGAACCCAATTCAGACTTCTTCAGCAGTGATTTTTTGACAGTGGAGTCCTGACTGCTTTGTGTAAGGAGAAAAGGACTTTGTAGCAATTCGACAAAGGGAGAAAGTACTGTCACTCTAAGAGTGCTCCACCACTTCATAGCCTCTGTGCCTGAGTGTGCTTGGTTTATCAAATTTAAATTTTTTTTTTTTTTCCCACACTGGAACTAGAGCATCTTCTCAGTTTTAATACTTTCTATCCTCAAGCATGGAGTGCACCTGCTCCAGTTTATGTAGCTACTTAGACTTGGACTGAATTATTTGGCATTAGTGGATCTCAAGGTCCTAATTTGGATCTTAGATTCCAAAAGGTTAATGAACTACATTAAAAAGCAATTTCAGGACTTACTCTGTGCTCTTGCAAATCATTTTGCTAGAACACCATTTCAAACCCTGTGTTTGACAATAGTCACTAACAGCATGGACTGCATTGTCAGTATATGTTCCTTCTACTGAAATGCTTATGAAATAAGTAGACATTTGCAGCAATGCCAGATGGAGTTTAGCTTGCCAGATCTAGAGGCCAAAGTGCTATTAGTAGCACTTTCAAGGCATCACTGAAATTTTTCCTCTTCAAAAATGTGGTTTACAGTTCTGTTGACCTGAAGTCAACCATCTAACACCTCAGGTTGGGCAGGGATTTTTTTTTGTGCGGTATCTTTATTAGTGAGGATACTTAAGTTAGGTGAGACATTACTTAACATTACCAAGGAGCAAAATTTGTGGCCCTCTTCATTTTACCTCTCCTGTGAGGAACAGAAGACTATAGAGAAATGAAAGACAACTCAAAATCACTGAAAAGAAGATAAGAGATCTTGAACTTCTTACACGAAAAAGACTCAATTCAAACCTTAAAACTGCTAAACTCTGTTTTCTTCTTCATTTGAAAGAACTCATTTATGAATAATTGCTTGGAAATGACACTCGTATGAGATGAAGTTGTTTTTGCCGTAGGCTCTTACTCTATACAAGTAATTTTTTTTTCTGAGGGAAGCACAGGGAGTGGATAATATTGTCGGGCATTCCATTTTACTTGCATCTTGATACTGGAGTCCTTGCCAAGTAGAACAACTGTCAAAATCCTGATGGAAGCTCCCTTTACCTTTTTTTTCTGGGGCTTTGTTTCAGTGCCTGTAGATTCAAAGGACTGAGACATCACAGATGTTCACCAACCATTGCCCAAATAAGGGGGGAGAAAGGCTATGGTGTATAAATCTGCTTTAAAACCAAGAAGGCTTACTTTGATTGTCCTTGGAAACATCTGTCTCTTTTCCAGTATGACTTGCTAACTGTGGTGGTGTTAGCATTTACATTTTCATAAAATATATTGTCTTGTCTCCTCTTAAAGTACTTTTCATCTCATTTGTGTGCTGATTCATCATGGATAGCATTAATAAACTAACCATATCAAAATTGCTTACACTGACTTTTCAAGTCAAACTTGCTTGTGTTTTCTAGCTTAAAGCACTCTTCCATATTTTGCTGCAATGAAGCCTGACTTAAAACAGGTTGGTTTTTGTTTTTGTTTTTTACAAGACTTTGCGTTGGTTTTATACTGTTGTAACTTGTCCCTTTCCTGAGCATTATATCTAAGAAAATTCCCTTGTGTGTTTTATTGGGCATCCTAACCATTGGTTCATTATATAGAACAGGTTTGCGAAGAGTTGGCATCACTAGCATCTGTTTCCATATCTGAGCCAACTCTCAGTTAAGAGTTGTTACTTAAATGCAGCAGTCATCTTTATTGTTTGTTTCTTGGCTTAAATATGCACCATGGGGGCACTAGCTCCATTAAGAGTTGCTTTAGAATCCGTAGAAATGCACAAATGCCTTTCCACATACTTGAAGGGGTGTTGGATGTACAACCGAAGGAAGAGCTCAGAATCTTCAAACACTAAATTGCCAGTCTTCCACTCCCCCGAGCTGCTTCTGCTTTCTTCAAGTTTTAATTTCTGAGCTAGTGTGGAGTTACAGTGGTGGAGGCTATAAAATTTATATTCACAGAAACTGTTCAAGTTTATATATTTGAATCTCAAAATAAGTTCAGAAGGGAAATTGCTTTTCAAGCCCAGGCCAATATATGTTAAAGTACACTGCTTATTACAAAGTCTTACATACACCTTCAAAAAACAGATGACATTTTCTAGATTTGCCTTCGTATGCCAAGTCATGGTAGCTTATGTTCCAAATGAGATCTTGCAACTGAAGATCATCTCAGTACTTGGGTCCATAAGGTTCAGTTGAGAATAGTTTTTGTTTGCATTTGGGTTGTTAGTACATAAGTGTGAAGGTTGTGTCACTTTTCTCTACTTTGTCTTAAAACACCAATCTAATCTGAGATTGTGAACCATTTCAGCTTGGTTAGCTTGTTATAACTGAAAGATGTCTGATAGGTAGTCTGCATTTTTGAGAGAGTTTTTGTTATTATTAAATTAGTATGTTAATGACAGCACGTTAGACTGTAGCTCTAAAAAAGCTATTGTGTAACCCTAGTAGCTAGATTCATCTCTTGTGCCCAAGCAGACTGACTGGTAACTGTTGTGTGACTGTTTCAGTAGTCATACTTTGAAACTGGGTATCATGATAGCTTTCTCTCCCCTTTCAGCTTACATCAATGATTAGTCTCCTTCTTTGGCTAAGCTTCAAATAAATAAATGAGAAAACATAATACCAAGTTACAGATTTGCCTAAAAACCAGCCACTTAAATTTTTCCTTTTTTTTTTTCTGTTGGGGGATTTTATCCAGAGCAAAAAAGAGAGATCTCTGGAAGCTGGTCTTACAGCAAAGATGTATGATGCTGTCATATATATATGTATGGCTGTTATGGTGGCACTCAAATTCAAATGTCATCTGCGTGAGGTGAGTCTTGATGGTATGCACGTGATATTGCAACACATTCAGAATAGTTCTGACTGGGCAGATGATGACTTCTTTGAGCCAAATATTCAAGGGCTGTGCTCTGCTAAAAATGGCTAATCTCCTCAATGCACAAAGCAGACCCTATTTCAGGCATAGGCAACTGGTGCTTCTTGGATATATAGATATATATCTGTACCTGTAGAGATGTAGATATATATGTACTCTGGGCCTGTAGATGACAACTGTTCTGCCATTAGTGCAGTGAAGAATTAAATATGCAGAAGTACATTTTTGGTAGACGGTACTGTATGAAGAAAATTCTCAGAATGCTTTATTTAAAAAAAACAATTACTTTTGGCAATGATGCTGTTGAAATGAGTTTAATAGACTGTGGAACATGTCTGCACTGTGATTGCATCTCAGTGGTAACTTGGTCATTGGGAACGCTGAAACATGAACTAGAATGGAATTCTTTTACACTCAAAGCATTTGCTGTTTTTTTTACAAACACTGGTTTGTACATAATCTGAATCAAATGTGAATGTTTTTTAAACACCTTTCCGGTTCTTGATAAGATACGTTTTTGATAGATATTGCAATTTTTCCTGTATTTGTCTAATTATTAAAATAAAAGTTGCATGGATCCTGACTTATCTTGCCTTTACCGTATTACTTCAAAGCCATCACTTAAAGCTATTGGAGGCCTAAACACTGTAGCTATTTTTATTCAACATTTAATGAGTAAGATTCCTGTCTTAAGACACTTAAGTAGCTGCTTTATTTCCCAGCGGAATTACTTTAAACTGATTTCTGTAGAAGTACTTTTTTCTAAAAGCTACTTTTTGTGTTCATTTGAAGAGTCGGTCAAAGCCTGTTGCAAAAGCACCCAGAAGGTATAATTAATGCATGAAAAAGCAATATGAGATTATACTGGAACACCAGCTGGCACAATGAAGATCAGTGTTACCCAGGAAAAATACACAGGATCCTCAGAAAGAAAACAGTTGATTAACAGTAGTGTGTATTGTTATTTTATTGTTGATTTCGGATCAATACCATTAAAAAAGCACTTTTCCCAAGCACCATTTTGTTGTTGTTGTTGTTTTGGAGAAGTAGTCACTGCAAAATTCATATTTGTTTGAGTTGACTGACTGCTATTGAAGATGTTTCTTTGGGGGATTGCCTTGTCTCTACACGGAAGGCCTGCATGGAAGACCTAAAGAAGGGTCAATCCTGACAAGTAGGAAGTCAAGGCAGGTGGTAGGAGGCCTGCATGGGTGAGCAAGGAGCTCCTAACTGAACCCAAACAGGAAGTGTAGAAGAGGTAGAAGCAGGGGCAGATGACCCAAAAGGAGCATAGAGTTGCTTTCTGAACTTGCAGGGATTGGGTTAGGAAAGCCAAGGCCCCTCTGGAGTTGAATCTCGCAAGGGATGTGAAGGGCAGGAAGAAAGGATTATACACCTATATAACAGCAAAAGGAAGACTAGGGAAGAAAGGTCCCGTCCCCCCCCCCGAATGGGGGCAGGGGAACTTGTGACAAATGATATGGAGAAGGCTGAGGTACTTGTTGCCTTCCTTGCCTCAGTCTTTCTTGGTAAGGCTGGCCGTAAGGAATCCCATACCCCTGAGAGCAGAGGGCAAGTCTGGAACGAGGTAGACTTGACCTTAGTGGAAGAGGCCAGGTTAGGGAGCATGTAAACAAACTGGATGTACTTAAGTCTATGAGGCCTGACAGGTTGCACCCATGAGTGTTGAGGGAGCTGGCTCATGTCATTGTGAGGCCACTCTCACTTGTCTTTGAATGGTTGTGGCAGTTGGGAGAAGTTCATGAAGACTGGCAGAGAGCAAATTTCTCTCCTATTCTCGAGAAGAGCAGGAAAAAAGAATTGAGGAGCTACAGGCCAGTCAGCCTCACCTCAGTCCCTGGGAAGCTGACACAGAAAATTATCCTGGAAAGCGCTTGCAAATAAATGAAGGCCAAGAGGGTGATTGGGAGCAGTTAGCATGGATTTATGAAGCAGAAATCATGCTTGACCAACCTCATTGCCTTCTACAATGAGGTGACTAGCTTGCTGGATGAGGGGAGAACAGCTGATGTTGTTTACTTTGACTTTTGTAGAGTTTTTCACACCATCTCCCATAACATCATCATAGACAAGTAGACGAAATGTGGGTTAGATAAGTGGATAGTGAGATGGACTGAAAACTGGCACAATGCTCGGGCCCAAAGGGTTGCGATCAGCAGCACAAAGTCCAACTGGAGGCAAGTCACTAGTGGTATACCACAGGGCTCAATACTGGGGTCAATACTGTTCAACTTCTTCATTAATGAAGACGGAATGAGTGCACCCTCAGCAAGTTTGCATATGACAGAAGAATGGAAAGAGTGGCTGATAGACCAGATGACTATGCAGCCATTTAGAGGAACCTCAACAGGCTGGAGAACTGGGCAGAAAGGAATTTCATGAAGTTTAACAAGGGGAAGTGCAAAGCCCTGCGTCTGGGGAGGAGCAACCCCAGGCACCAGTACATGCTGGGGTCTGACCAGCTGGAAAGCAGCTCTGCAGAGAAGGACCTTGGTGTCCTGGTGGACAGCAAGCTGACCGTGAGCCAGCAGTGCACCCTTACAGCAAAGAATGTCAGCAGCATCCTGGGCTGCATCAGGAGGAGTGTTGCCAGCAGGTGAAGGGAGATGATCCTTCCTCTCTGCTCAGCACTGGTTAGGCCACATCTGGAGTGCCATCCCCAATTCTGGGCTCCCCAATACAAGGAAGATGGGACTTAGCAGAGAGAGTCCAGTGCAGGGCCACAAAACTCTGCCAGAATATGTGGATTTCTTAATCCTGATCTAGTTCTGAGGTGTGATATGATGAAATGTTTTAGGAATAGAAATACTGTTTGGAACTAGGAGCTAAAATGTCCTCTAAAAGTGAGACTTGAGGCCTAATTTGACTTCCATCTTAGTAGTATTTTATCTTACTGTGATTAAATCCTGAACTTCGAGGTATGATTCTAATATGCTAATTTAATTACCCATTTGTTTTCTTACTTCATTCTGTTTTTAATGTAATCTTTTGGGGATAGGTAAGTAAGTTCCTTTTATTGACAGCATCAGCTCTCATGGAGAATTCAGCTTGGTCTGTAGCAGTGACTGCTAGGCATTTTTAAATTACTGAGAAATCTCAATTAAAGGTATGTTTAAGGCCAAATTCTGGTCTGCAAATGTCAGGAATTTGTGAACTCTATAGACGAACCAGCCTTCATTGACAGGAGCTAACAGAACTGGGGTTTGGATAAGGAAACGATCAACTGCTTCCTGAGTTTTACAATCTGAATTTTGTTTTCTTCTCTTTAAAGCCCGATTTGCTGCAGGAAGGTGATTTCAGCTTGCCATCAAGGGATGCTGATGGATAGTACCAATGTAATTTGATTAGATTTGCTTTTTCTTTGTTTTAAAATATGCTTTTAAGCTAAACTGACTGGAGTAACGAATAGACTTCTGTGTTCGTACTAATTTTCTGATTTCAGTAGTTTTAGGTAAGGGTTATCAGCTTTGATCTGGGTAGTGCTGCTGTCAGAATTAAGCATTATACTTCTTACTGGTTTTGTTGTACAAACCAGCGTGAACATGCTTGGAGAATGCCTCAGAGCACAGCTGGATATTCATCGAATGTAATAGCTGCATATTCAGTTGAATCAATGGTTTATTTAGCCATCCTCAACAATAAAACACTGATCACTGATACAATAACATACTCGAATGAAGAATGGCCTCCTGCCATTTCATTATTGGCAGACTTAACGCCCTGGGCACAAACTTAACTGATACTGTTTGGTAGTGAACTTTGTGACAAATTCTACTTTCAGTTGTTACCTATGAGGAAGGAATTAATTCTGACTTAGATGCAACAGAATGCCTGCGGCTGTCAAGGGGAAGATTTGTAAGACCAAAAATGGCTGGTGTCTGGCAGCACTGAGCAGCTAGAGAGCTGCTTAGTCCCCAGTGTGCTCCGTTTCAGCAAGGGGGTTGATTACTGGCTGGGGGAAAGAAATGAATGCTGCCTTGGAGCAGAAGTGAGAGAGCAGGGCCTGTCCTGGTGTCTGCAGCCAGCTCCCAGCAATAATCACTTCTAAAGCTGTAATCACAGCCACATGGCAACACTGTGCCTTTTTTACTGCTTTCTATTCTTAGTGCTCGTAACAAGGGATTAAAGAGCACGATAAAAATATACGCTTAAAAAAAGTAGACTTATAAAATATGATTTCCTTTTGAAGGACTGTATTTAGTACATGATGAATCCTGTAGGGGAGGCATGTATGCATTTCCAGTCAGTGTTAAGGTTTGAAAACTATTTTAAGAACAGCAGAACCTGGCTGTTGTCATAGTAGCAATAAACCTTTTAATCCCACTTCCTGTGGAGATGAAGCTGTTGTGTGCTTAATCTGCTTAAAGATCGTCAAGGCTGTTTATGTTACAGGGAACTAGAGATGCAGCACTGAGAAGATGCTACTTGGTGCCCCAGGAAAGTTTAGTGCTTTTGTCTACTTTGATGGTGTTTGATTAGGATTTGCTGAGGGACCGATCTCATGACAAGCTAGTAGGAGGACAGTCACCTGGGAAGCTAGTCTTCATTTATACCACAATTTGTTGTCATGGTTAAATGAAACTGTTTCTACGTAGTTCTGGGCAAGAGTGTGCCACTGTCATGGATCTCCCATAGTTTAAAAGCATCCTTTTTGAGAAAGTCCTTTCATCCTCAGTGCTTCCATTCCTTAGAGTCTCTGAGACTTCCCAAACAGCACTGGGTCATATTTATATATTGCTGTAGATTCTGTAGTCTCTGAAAAGCTAACACAATTAAAAATTCCTTGAAGTATTTGGAAGATGCTGGGTGACTTATTCTTAAATGTACAATAGGTAGTCAAGAGAAATCCACAGAAAACTGACAGATTCTTCAACTGGTTTTTGGAGATCAGTTTAGCTAGGTAGGGAAAATTTTAAATGTCAAAATAATCATTATAATAGAATTTGGCATCCTGAACAAAAAATGACGTGAATGTTTGTTCATGTGTATCTAGAACTAAAAGAGACCTTCTTTCTCACCGGATCAAATTTCTCAGTAATTACTGACATCTGTGCTATTGCCAATTTATTTGGTGTGGTCTGGTTACAGTACTGGATTACATAACCTCACGTCCTGCAAATAAGCAATATGCATCTTTTGTTTGAACTAGTATTTCGATATGTACTGAATAATAGCAACGTTTGGGGGATTTTTATTTGTTTTTCCTGAAGTCTGCATGTTCTGGCTAGATGGACACTCAGTCTTTAGGACAAATCACACTAGAGAGTAAATGAAAGAATGTTTCCAAGGTTAGTTATTTATTTGCTAATTTAAAAAAAATATCTATCTGTTTGCCTCTCTAAAGTTTTGATCATGGGTAATTGGTTTTTGCTCCTTCCCCTCCTTTCCAGTGGCCCTTAGTTCAACATGACATGGAAAGATGTGTTAGACAAACCATTGACTGTTATTCCTGTCCCTCTGTCTGTGGATGAGTTCCTGGTATTAGAGGGAAGCTGGACAGCTACTGCAAAAATTCTGCAACACTATCGACTGAAATGCCATAGCAGTTTTAGCAGTTTTGAATAACTAACTACCCCTTTGGTGATTTTTGTTTGGTGCCTGGTGCTACCGTTAAACCTTTTCATCAGGTCTAATTACACCTTCGGGTGCCTTGCTCAGTGAGTTACCTGGACCACCATTTGAGTCCTGTGCGTTTGATCTGCCCTTGCAGGCTTCGGAGATGCGGGCTGACCCCCATCCACGCTGAGGGATGAGGGAAGGTGGTTCCTTCCTCTTTTCCCCTCTTTTTCAGAGTGTTGCCTTCAGGCACTGTAGGGAGGGAGCCGTGAACACCCCCCAGATGGGGCACAAGCCAAGGAGCCTGGTGTGGGATTGAAATCCCCTCAGCCTGCCCCATGTGGTCCGCAGGAGGTGTCCTGTATAGGATCCTGACCAGAAGACTGGTTAGGTGGGATGGAGAATGTCTTCCCAGCAGAACTGTTTGCATTACTGTTTGGAGGGCCTTTGGAAACTTTCCAGTCTGACACTCTGAACAAAACAAAGTTCTCACTTTAAAACAGCTTCTGTTTTGAAACTTTTTTAACATTTAAAAGTGGTAATCAGATTTTTTTACTGTTTTATTTAATCTGAAGGTTTCAACACTTTGTCCCACTTTGGAAGTTTTTTCACGACAAATCTTCAGTAATTTTATGGCATGAGGCAACTGGTTCTTCCTCTTAGATGGTAAAAATGCTAGTAGAGGGGGGGGTTCACTTTATATAAGCAACCTGTCATTGTTTGGTACTTACGCTGCCCAGTTGATTTCTTAGCAGAAATCAACCCAGTTTGGGGATAACTCTGTTAAAGGTATCAATTTATTTTCACTGAGCCATATTATACTAAATTAATTCTTAAATGTTTGATCTAACTGGTGAGTAGATGGAGGCTGAATGGAAAAAAAGTACCTCTGCATTCATTAATACCTCTGTAGACACTTACAATATTGAGTCATATTATTTTGATTTTTGTCAAGGATTTTGATCATAATTTTGGGTGGGTATCCTTTTGGTGCAGCATTTTAGATAAAAACGTGTAAATCATGTAGTGTTATGTCCAGCTCAACTCAAGTTCTGCCAAATTACCTAAGATATGATTAATACTTAGAATAGTAGCTAAAATTAAATTCCATGTTTTAATAAGAAAGCAGATTTAATCAATAGTCTCTTAAGCTCTGCAGAGTGAGATCATCATTATGTCAATGTCTTACACAGTGCTGAGTATTTTGACGTGTAGTAATGGTGTTTTTCTTTTATGAGAAACAAATTGAACAGCTGGGTACAAATGTCTCCCACTCACTGTTACAGGAATGGTCAGTGTCTGCAGATGCTGCTTGGTCTTTAGTGGGTTTTTTTCAAGTGGTTTTACTATAATTATAGAGATGAGAGCTCTTTATGCTTAATCTTGTAATGAGTTTGTTTGCGTAATGCATTTACCCAAGTGGACTTCCTAGATGGTGAAGCACAGCGCTTGCGCGTGCTGCACTGTCTGCTAGACATGCCGCTGGGGGATAAACCAGGGATAAGTGAAAAGGTTGCATGAGATAACAGTGTGGAAAGCTCTAACTCTATCACTAGAGTTAGTGTGACACTGAATGTATTAAAAAATAGCATTAAAATAGTGACCATTGCTAGCTGGGGATGATAACTTTAAACTAGCTGCTATGAGACAGTAAAGTGCTGCCTCCCACTGCACTTCTCTGAATGTTGCATTGGGTATTGGCATGTGTGGCTGATAATACTGGAAATAGATATAGCATTGTAAGTATGTGCCTGAGAAGATGAGGTATGTGTTTTGTAGCTTTACTTCTTACTCTGCAGGGTTTATACTGAGTGGTTTGCTTTGTCAGCCTGAGCAGTTATTTAAAAACCATTCTTGTTGGGGTTTGCAGTTTTTTCTTCCCATTTAAAAATCTAGGCTAGTGAACTGTCCCCCTTGTGTTGCTGAGAAAACCCCGAGAGAGATTGAGGTAGCTTACTGATTTATTCCACAAATGTTCCCAGGACCCCTTTGAAATAGCTAGAAACTGGAACGCCTGTGGTCTGCTTTCAGATGGATACTTAAAGGGTATGATTTTTGCGTCTCCTCCTCAGACTTTCAGAGGTATGCACATGATAGGAAACCTGCATTTCTGGCTTGTGTGTGCCTCTGGGTGAGAGGAATGGTTGATTCGCTTTGGCTCAGAGACCTGTGAAGAAGACACAAGTATGTCTCACATGAACCATCCTCAGCTTGGCAGCCTCATACTGTCTGCTTCTAGTGCTAAAACCAGAATAGTTGAGTATGGTTTTGCAGTCAGATGTGGTAGCTCCCAGCCATTATGGGAAAGCACCAGAAGTTTCACTTCCACCTGTGCTGCTTCCTACAATTTTCCTGCCATCCACAAAAGCAGGAGAGGGTGTTCCCAGTGGTTGCTCTTCTGGTTTTTCTCAATTAGCTCTGCCTGTCCTGCTTTCATATATCTCAAATCCTTGTGCGTGAGGGAAAGGTGGAATAGAGGAAGAACATGCAGGAGAGGGCTGATAGATTTAGCGATGATGTCTTCCAATGCAGTGTGTACCATAGTGAGAGGTTTAACACCAAGTTTTCCTGATTTAATATGGCTGTGAAATGACCAGACAGGCACCATTTGGCTGAGTGCATAGAAATCACTGGTGTTTTCAAAATGACAATTGCACAGTCAGGCCCTTAATAATTACAGAAGCATTCTTCCAGCTGAGTTTTCTTCCCTAGAATGTGCAGAGGACCTGGGCATGACTGCAAAACAGTCCTAGAAATATCTAGCCATGCAGTTTTCAGTCCTTTCTAAACCTGGTTCCTAGAGTCTGCATTTTTTGAAATCAGCATCTTCTCTGGAGACTTGTCTAAGTTTCAAACTTTTTTTGGCTCCTTTATAACAAGAATGAAACGTTACATTTCACCTCCAGTGGGGTGGAGGGAGGGAGAAGCTGAAGGTACTTCATGCCTCTGTGTAATACAGCCTAGCAGTGCTTTATTATTTTACCCTGCTATGTTGTGTCACAAATGTCTGTTTAACATGCTATTTCCCCATAACTCCCAACACTGCTGTTTGCTGTGTGTCCTTGTGCACAGAATTCTTGTGCTTTGAATTGTTTTTCTCAGGTATACTGTTCTGCATTTTTCCCAGATGAATTCACTCTTGGTGTTTGCCTCTGCCTCCCATTCTTCTGCAACAGTAGAGTCCAGCATTGACTAAAGGTAAGAAACTACAGTTCACATTAGTCTCATTGCTGTATTTCTCTAGCTCGAGTGACTTTTGCATCGTTCTCCCACTGCAGTTTTCATGAGCGTGTTTTTAATTCCTACTTCTTACTTCATCAAAGAATATTTTTAATCAAACCAAGCCTAGTAATGATTCCCATCTTTCTTTGTTAGAAACTACTCTCATGCTACTCCTTGTTTTCATTTTACATTGTTATTTCAGTACTCTTACACAGTTTCTGTTGCCAAGATTCTGTCTGTATCCAAGGCAACTTAAATAAATTTGAGGGTAAGATAGTGAGAGATGATGTATCAATTACTCATATCCAAGTAGATGACCTCTGTGGCACTCCCTTTATGCATCATGGTAATTCTGCTCAATTTAAAATGTTTGGGTGCAGTGTGTACAGTTGTGGAGACAGGGAAGATTCCTCACTAATGAAGACCTGCTGTTTTGCAATGCTGCAACATGTTCCAGCCTATTCCAGTGCCATGTGCATCACGTGGGATCTGGGCTGACAGCCAGTGCAAATGTTTCTTCAAGGACTTTAGGACATATTCTAATTATGTTTAGATTCTCCCACTCTCTTTTCATCTGAAGGATGTCACTCTTTCTGCTCATTTCAAAGTGCAGTGCAAAGCACTCCATCTGCCAGCATGAGAGGGGTCCACTGGTGCACTTGTGTGAGAGGCAGTAGGATGGCTGGCTTTGTGAGTGACTCTTTAACCTCCAGCTGTGAGAAGTCCCAGGCCTTTGAACACTGTCAGAACTTGGCCAGTGTCCAGCAGTGTTTTCATCCAGTGCTGGAGGAGATGTAAAATTCCCTGGAAGAAAGAGCTTCATTTCTCTGAGCCTAGCAGGGGAAAGAAAAGGGGGAATGAATTGTGGGATGAAGCGTCTAAAACTCTCCATAGCTGAAAAAAAAAAGCAATGTTTTGTGGAGGAAAAATGTATTTGTGGGAGCTATGCATGTGAGCACATGTATTCTCTCTCAACCTGGTATTGAAGGTGTGTGATGGGACTACAGGATCTTAACTAGGGGTCTTTTTTAAGGGGACTGGAATTGCAAAACAGCAAGCAAGAATAAAGGCCATTATGCAATACTGTGCACTGGAACATAATTCTGCGAGGTGAATACAGTGAGGGCAGATCCATGGCTGTATGTGATATATGGCAAATGAGATTGTGCATTTCTGTGTGTGTGTAGAACAGACTGAGGGCTTTTGAAAAGGTGCAGACTCAGCCTGGAGGAAATGTTTCTGACGTGGGGAGGAAGGAGGGAGACACTCTTTTCTGTCCTTACTTTGCAAGTTATCCAAGAGCAAGCTTGTATTCTTGTCTCTGCTGTGGTCTATGCCCTCTGACAATCAGTGCTAAATTGCATGGATTCTTTCCTGGAGAGCCACATGCAGTAACACCTTCTTTTCAGCCAAATTAATTTCTCAAGGGTGATATTGTTACAGCAGATCCCTGGCTACTTAATGATATTTATTGTCTAGGCAAGTGCATTAATTAACTGGATACATAAGAAAGTCTGGGTCAAACTTCAGAAAGTCGGCCAGACTTTCTCAATCCCTTGTGGCTGCTGGGATCATCCTGCTGCCTGGTGTGACCTGAGTAATCAGTGTATTGCCAGACTGGCATCTCTCAGTCCTGATTCCCACAGGTTCACAGTAGTGTTCAGCAGCAGTTCAAGGCTCTGTTGTGGGTGGCATGTGTGTCCAGAAAGAAGTTTTTGTGTAACTTCTTTGGCCAATGTTACTGATACAGCTGAAGTGACTTCAGGAGGGGAATGGAACCAAGGTTTAAAATCTCTAGTCTGCATGTCCCTAATGGAACATAAGCCACCTTCAAGTGGTACATGGCCCAGTAACTGTGGTTGCCACTGATTGTGATAACCATTGTGAACTCCTTCAACATAAGATGGGGTACAGGCTGTTGTGGAGTTAGTCGTTGGAAAGAGCTTCTCCTGGAAAAAAAAAAGGAAATTTATGTTTTGTTCTTTCCATCTTGCCCAAACATAAGATTAGGAGAGAGGAAGAGAAACTGAGGCTAATTCTCTTCTTTGCCTATACTTGGCTTATATTGCTGTAAGCTTGCTTACCTCAGTATGTGTAAGATGAAAGTCAGGCTGTGCTCATGCGATTGGGTGCACCTGGCTTGAAGAGGTTTCTTTGTACTTTAATGGGCACTGCAAGGGGTTCCCAAGAGAGTTCTTCAGATGGAAGCTGTTTTTCTCTGGGCAGGCTGCATAGAGCCTCATTATTGCTCTGGCTTTTGCTGCACAGCACATATGTTACTGCGGGGTTGTCAGCCCTTCAGTAGATTTCTACAGCGCAATAAAAATAAGTAGATTAACCAAGCAAAGAAGATTAGGGACACTTTGGGGAAGGAAAGGGAAGGGAGGAGGATGAGCTGGAGGGAGTATAAAAAGAGACCACAAGACTGTGAGTGCCAGGCTTCCTGGTGCATGTTACACAGGGTGGCTTTCTTTGTCCCTTTCGGGTTTGGGTTAGGCATACTGAATAGAACCGATCCTGACACCATGTCCAAAGAGAAACTGGAGTCACTGGTCAAGAACATGGAGATCATGCTCTCTGAGGTAGAGCAGCTGAAGATCCACTGCACCAAGCAGACGGAGGAGGTGAACCAGGTGGTACAGGAACTGCGCCGAGAGAACAGGGAGCTGACAGAGAAGTACGAGCACATCTGCCAGGACCTGAAGGAGGCCAGGGAGGCCATTGCCCAGCTGCAGGACACCAAGTTTGCCTTTGAGGCAAAGGAGCGGCAAGCACAGAAGCTCAACCGGCAGCTGTGAAGCAGCAGGAAAGAGAAGTGAGAGATTTCTTAACCTGATCTAAGAGTAAACAGAAACCTTCGACCGCTGCAACCAAAAATCCCTGGATCGGTATTTTAAAGCAACCCTTTCTCTTCTTCCTCAGACTAAACCTGTGTGCTGGAAAAACCCTGTGTCTCTTTGTGGAGGCAAGATCTCAGGCACAGCTGGAATTCTGCCCCAGAAGGCTCCTTTGTTAATGACTAAATACCTCATTATGCTGGGAGGGAAATCTCATTCCAGAATCCCTTGTCAGAGATCTGAGCCATAGGCGTGCAGCAACGGCTGCCAGGATCTGGGCACCTTCTCATGCCCCGTGGGAGCTGCACAGGGACAGAGCCCAGGAAAAGAACTGTCTCTGCTTTGAGCCACTGGAGAGAGCTGTGCCGCGAGAGTCTGCGAGATGGAGAGAAGCATCGTCGATTTCGCAGCCCCTGTTGCTCTGTTTTGTTGCTAACTTTTCATTGTTGCACAGCGAGGCTGTGGTGCTGTCCTTACCAGGGTGTCAGCTTCCTTGCTGCCTGACTCTGGAAGACATCAGCAAGAGCGTACGTTGTGCCTCGTGCTTCCAAGTACTTGCTATCAAGAGCATGTTGGTCCAGAGGATCTTTTAATGCTATTACAGTTGGTGTTGTCCTCTTCCAATTCCAAAGTGAAGTATAAGAACTGGAAAGGTTTCTGTCTCAATTTCCATTTCAATAGTGTTAAATCCTAATGACTCCATGTTTAGTATGCTAGAGTTAAACCTCTGCTGAATATAACAATTTTTAACCAAAGAGCTATGTTCTGGCACTGGATTTACTTTTCTTAAACAGAAGTAACTTGTATAAACAGACTGGGAATTAGGAGGGATAAATGTATGTGGGGCATGGGGGTGAGAATTTCTTGTCAGGGGTTTTGCTTTCAACTTTTTTCCTGTCTTTCCTAAGCAGCATTTGGGGCAGTCAGTGCCAAGCCCAGCTAAGAGCAGGTGACTTTTGACTCCACAGTGAATAGCGGGAGATCTCTGGGGGGCAGTGTGGAGAGAGTGCTGAGAGAAAAAGTCTGAATGTTTAAAGGGAGAAAAAGTCTGAATGTTTAAATGGAGAATAGCTGGAATAGTTCCAGGAGGATCTTTCTTCATGTTGGCTGTGATGTAGCCAGCTCCTTTCTTTCCTCCGAAGCTTTGCTGTATTGTTATCTCTGCCCAGCAAGCTCCCCCTTCCCAGGGAGGGATGACGTTTGGGAGAAGCAGAGAAACTCTTTCCATCCCTGAGGGGCTCGGGGTCTGTGTGGCATCAGGAGGCCAGGCGCGCTGTGCAGGGGTGGAGGGGACTAACCACACTGAGAGCAGGGAGTCAGCGCAGGGGGAGAGGGAAACCTGGCTGCCACAGGGATTCAGGCAGGGGCAGAACAGTTCAGCAAGACCTTGTCTTAGGACTCAGTCCAGCACTGGTGAAAATAATTGTAGTTTTGTCATTGATTATAAAAATACTGAGATCAGGCCTAGAATTAGACTGTTACTGTTCCTTCTCTGCCCTCCCCTCTGCCACATCAGTCTAGGCCTGATCCAAAGCCTTTGGAAATTAAAATCTTCCCATTAATTTGAATGAGCACTGGGCTGGACCTTCTGAGCAGAGGGCTGCTGTTTGTGTGGCAAAGCAAGCACTGGGACATCCATGGGGAACAGCTTTTTCTGTGAATCGCTGTAAGTGGGAGGTGTGACAACATGTTTTCTTAAATTTGTGTGATCTAGACTTTTATTTTTTGCTATTTTGGGTGGAGCAGATTGGAATATCTGGAAAAGATTCGGGAGATCGGAGACTGTCCTTTATGTTTTCAAATGTAATCTGAATACAAATGACCAGCCTTGCTCCTTGCTCACCAGTGACAGCTTGGGGAGCAGAAGAAATCAACATTAATCACTATATTTGTTTGTATAAGAACTAAAAATGTTTTCTCTTGAAATTAATTCTCTAGCTCAAATCTGCTTACCACCTGTGATTTCTTCTACTTTTTATATATCATTAAAATGTAAAACCAACAATAAAAGGAAAACAAACAGCTGAGGGAGCATCTGTTCTGGATAAGGCATTGCCTCATTTAATGCATGTGTATGTTATTTTTTGAGAGTGTGTGTGTGTGTATGCTTGCTAAATATAATTATTCCTGTTTAAATCC